AGCGGAGGTGGGTGTTTTTCTAACTCTGACCTTGGTAATTGCAGAGAGGGCATTCCCAATTCTTTTCTTGATTGGTTCTCTAAGCCCTGGTCTCTGAGTCAGTCTCCAATTAGGTTCTAAGGCCTCTACTTCATGTTTCTACTATCCAAGTTTCCTTTCTGCTGTGATTGCAACATTATTTTGACCATCATATTATTCTACTTCATAATGAATGGAATTTAAGTAAAAACTGCTATTTGGAAGTAACAGACAGACTTCTGAACATTCATATATAAGCAAAGAGTTTTCCTAGATGGGTTCTGGTGGCACATGCCCTTAACCCTAGCTACTCAGGAGGCTGAGATCTGAAGATTACAGATGGAAGTTAGCATGGGGAAGGAAAGTCTATGAGATTCTTATCTCCAATTAACTAGCACAAAGTCAGAAGTGGAGCTGTGGCTCAAGTGGTAGCACTAGCCCTGAGTGAAAAAGCAAAGGAACAGTGTTCAGGCTCTGAGTTCAAGCCTCACTATCAACACACACACACACACATGCACACACGCACGCACGTGCATGCACACGCACATGCACACATGCAGTCTTTCTACTTAGAATAATTAGAGAAGTTGTGATGTTATGCTGCATGGAACCATATTCTTATTGCCTATCCTAAAATTGTGTTTAATTTACTAAATGTATGTCCCAAAACCTTGACTAGTCTGTAATTATTGTAGTAACTCATACATTGAAACATTAACCAAACACTGATAGTCATTCAATATCTATGTTGATAATTTAATTGGATAAATGTTTTAAACTAGAATATGCCATAGATTCACCCATTCAGACTGTGAAGACTTTTAATTATTAGTTGGGTGTGATAGTACACATCTGTAACCCTAGTACTTGGGAAGCTAAAACAGAAGAATTCTAAATTTGTGGCCAATCTGGGCTATACAGTGAGACCCTGTCTCAATAAACAAGCAAACAAAATTATTTCACAGTATCTCCAAAGACTCATTTAAATGACTACAAAATATTTTTATCTTCCCTCCATGCATTTTGATTCTTTGGAAAAGATCTGGGTTTCTTTGGGGACATCATTTCAGTATTCAGCCAATGAAGTTCTTATCAAGGATGAATGACTGGGACTATAAAAGAATTTCCCGTAACTGGAAGTTTGCAAATGGTTCTTTTGCTCCAATGCTGCACATCTAATTTTATTATCTCTTGTACTGGTACTGGCCTCCTACTCTCTCTTGGCTTTTTCTGCTCAAAGCTGGTACTTTGTCACTTGGGCCCTAGCTCCACTTCTGGCTTTTTGCTAGTTAATTGGACATAAGAATCTCATGGAGTTTTCTGCCTGGGCTGGCTTCAAATTGTAATCCTCAGATCTTGGCCTCTTAGGTAGCCAGGATTACATATGTAAACTGTTGTTCCCAGGCTCATGCTGCACATTTAAATAATGCTTAGATGATAATCTACCTTGGCTTTGTTTTCTGGTTAATGAAAAATCCCAGTATCACTGCCACTTCTTCCAAGAATCCCATTCTGAATCCTTTCTTTGAATTTATTTATTTTTTAATAAATGCTAAAGGTCTAAAGGAGCTTCATTGAGGTTTGTGCTCATGAATTTAACTCAAGGGTTACCTGTGTGCTTTTTTTTTCCAGCCCTAATTAACTGAATGAAGGCAGAAACCTAATGAGTGGAGGTGAATTTAATAAATGTCTCTTTTTCAAGCATTTAGGATAGAAAACAAAGGTGTCAAGATTGTACCAGCCTTGGCATTTATAAAAGAAAATAAGAGTTACGAAGAATATAGGGAGTAAAATTTATGAAAGGCAAGATAATGGATTATTGGATATGTTTGAAAATTGAATGATTTGGGGGGGGGATAAGAAAGGGAGGGAGGTGATAGCCTGACAGAGCAATCCATGAATTTGAGATTATGGAGGAGCTGCATCCATTTTTTGGCAAATGACAATTTTAGGACATGGCTATAGCTGTAGCAAGATGGAGCACAAAGTCATTGGAAAAGAACACTTTAAGACATTCATAGCAAGAATTCTTTTTGAATTCATTTGAATTTATTTAACCTTTGAATTCGTTTAACACTTTGTCTTCTGGAAAGCTCTCTTTAGCTCCTATTTATCTCTATCTCTATCTGTAAAAACCCTCAGTATATAGAAACTGTCACAACATTTCCTTGGCTCCTCCCAGGCCAAGTCCAGCCTGACTCATGGCAAGTCTTCAACAAGTGTCAGTGGAGTGAAATGTCAAGTTCATAGAATAAGAAGGTATACTGCTCTCTGCAATTCTCCTCTACATTTTCAGGGAAGGGCAAATTCTTCTGGAGACCCTGTTCTCTGCTTCATGGGCTTACCTAAGAGATGGGATGGTTTGATTAAGTACAACAACCACATGCATATTGTTTCCATGACAAACAGAAAGACACTAGCTAATAAAGAGATTCTCCAACAGACAAAAACAGAGCGTAGCAAAAATACTTGTTACACTGCAGTAATCTGATGAGTGATTTACTCAGACCATTTCAAGTTTCCTAAAAGAAGGCTGAGTGTTCAAGTTCCCTGGGGGGAGTTGGGAGAGGGACTTGGAATCTCTCTCAAAGCACAAAAAGGAAGGGAGGTGGCCTTAAATTCTTCATTAAATCCGGTTAGAAGTACACAACTTCATTCTTTAGTAGATATTAGTCATAGCCAGACTTTAAGGGCAGGGCAAACTCTACTTGCCTGAAGGAAAAGAATGAGGAGGAAAACAAACAAAAATCATAGATAGATAGATAGATAGATAGATAGATAGATAGATAGATAGATAGATAGATAGATGATAGTTTTCTGTTTGGAAAGAGGGAAACTTCAACATTTCAACACCAGGATGGGGCAAATGCCAACCCCCCCCCCCGCTTTCCCTCCTCCCTCCCCCATTTCCTCAAAACCCTCCAAGTCTCATCAAAGGATGAGAGCAGTTCTTAGGATGCTCAAAGCTTCTCACAGCTGATTACTTTTCAGGAGGAGAATTAGACAAAAAAAAATAAATAATACGAGTGGGAAATAAAGAGAATGACCTACTTTGGGGGGGGCGGGAAAGGGAGCTCTGTGTGAACGTTTTCATCTAATTGACGGTGTGGGGTTGCATGCCCAAATAAGGCACTGCTGGTCGGCCAGCGCGGGAGCGGGCCTCCCAACTCCTGCGGGGAGAAGAAATCTAGGCCCCAGAACCGCGTGGGGGCAAATTCCCAGTCCCTAACGGTCTGGCCCTGGGGGGAAAGGAAAGACCTCAGGAGACCCCTTCTGGCCATAAAATCGGTGGGTTCACTAAAGGACCAGCGGGGGGCGCTTTCCTTCCCAGGGCCACTATCCAGAATGGGTGTGCGCGCGAGCGCGGGACGCGCCAGGAAACGTACCTGAGAGATGGCAGGGAAAGGGGTGACCTTTGCCAGTGGACTTGGGGGTGGGGATGGATTTCCCTCCCGGGGTGGGGTGGCCGGGGTTGGGGGCGGGAGGTGTTCACCCCGGTGCCTCGTCGGCGCAGCGATCGCCGCCGCTGGGGTGGAAGGGGGATGCGAATTTCGGGGAAGTCCGCCACCTTTGCGGCCCTGGGCGGGGCGCACGGCCTCTCCTCCCCGCCCCCCCCAGCTCGGACTCGGGGATTCCGGCCGAAGCCCCTGGGGTCTATTTGTGCGCATCTAGGGTCGGCTGGCTGTTTGCGGGAGCTGAGTGAAAGCCTGCGTGTTTTCTCCAGTGCGCCTCCTTCCTCTCCCCTTCTCTCTCTCTTCTTTCTCTCCCCCCTCCCTCTCTCTCCCCTCTCTCTCTCCAGCTTCTCTTTTTCTTGGATTCTCGCCTGTCTCCTCCCACAGAGGAAAAAAAAAAAAGGTCACGTATGTTTGGAAAAATATGTAGGTCAGTGGAACATTTCCTGCCCCGGTGCCGGGGGGAGGGGAGAGGCCGGGCGGGCTCGGAGGGCGTGCTCCGGGACGCAGCCCCTCACCCGCGTGGCTTCTGCAGGAGAAAACACAGGAGGCGGGCCGTTCAGTCCGTTCCCGGCCATCCAGGATGGGCTCCCCCCCACCCCGCATCGCCCCCCGACGTGCGCCTAGGCCGAGGCGCGGGGTATTCCCCTCCCTAGCCGCCACCCCGATCCTGAGCAAACAAAAATGTTTATTCTCAGCTCCCGGGACCCCCACCCCCCACCCCCCCGGAGAAACCGCAGGGTTCCCCGCAGAGAGGCCCGGCGGGGCTGGGATGCGGGGAGCTTCGGGGAAAGAGCGGCAGTGAGATCCGCGTCCTTCCCCGGGTCAGCAGGGTGGCTGCGGGCACTGAGAGTCTACCGAGGCGGAGGCTGGAGATCTTGTCCTCTCCTCCTCCTCCTCTTTGCCCCCGCCGCCCCAAGCGACAACTTTAACGGGACCTCCGTGGGTTAGTCCCGCGTCGTCCCGCCCTCGCCCACCGGTTCTCCGCCAAGCACGACCCGCAACCCTTCAGCGCTGCCAGTCCCGACCCCAGGCTCCCCGCCGGATCCGCACCCGTCGCAGCCCCGCAGGGCCAGCGGCGGCCTGGGGGGCACCGGGGTGTCTGCGCTGGCTGCAGAAGCCGGGGGTCCTGGGGTCCGATTGCCCGCGCCGTTGGCGGGGTGCGTGTCCGCGGCTGGATCGGAGCCAGGAGAGACCGGGCCGCCCAGCCGAGGAGGAGGAGGAGGAGGAGGAGAAGGAGGAGGAGGAAGGGGAGCGGGAGGAGGAGCGGGAGGCGGCGGAGGGCGCGGGAGGGGGAGGAGGAGCGGGGGCGGCGGC